TGAAAGCTATTCATTATGATATAATAGGATTTGTAAAGACAAGGGGGGAAGCTTTAATACTTGTAAGTTGTATGGATAGGATTTTTCACTTGAGAATGAAGTAAAATTGGTCTTAACTGTAAGTAATGACTTCAGTTTATTCCTTGGGAAAACAATGTTTTTACAGACCACTTCACTTAATTGGGTTGCTACTGAAGGTCACTATTTTGTGACTGAGCTGTTGATTTGATTTGGACTCTTGAATGGTTAGATGCAATAGTGGGTTGAGTTTTTTGGTTTTTTTTTTTTTTCAAAAGCACTCAGGGTTGACCTGTCACTGATGTCTTTGAGTAGATGAGCTTCTAAAAGCTTGGAGCAGATTGTATGGAAAATCTGACTGTGCCTGTAGAGGGATGAGGAGGGAGCGGGAGGGAAGGATGAGCTGGAGGGAAGAGGCGATGTGGGGAGGTAGGCAGGGAATAAGAAGAATAAATTAGTCAGTCTGGTCTGAACTAGTCTGCAGTGCTCAGAACAGGAATTGTGGTGGTTATTACAGTACATGTTTCTGGTGAGGCACCTGAAAATTGCTAGTTGCTTTTGGCTGTATGGTCAATGTTTCTTCATTAGTCTCGTCCTTTTTCTTCCCCACTCCCCCTTCAAATGTGATAATGGCCCAATACAGCTAGAGGGCTGTCCCTATTTAACTAGTGTTTTGTCCTAATTGAAATGTAATTCAACACATTTAGCTTTCCTGTCTTTCAATACAATAGAGACATCTGCCGGCATCACAAATGAGACTTGTTTCCCCATAGTAATTTGCAGGTACATTGCTGGTACTTATGTGATGCATCAATCCTTTCTCCTCAAACCCTACCCACCCCACTGGGAATACTGAAAGGTCAATCACGTGCTTTATTTCAGTTAATGCCCGTGAGCAGATTTCTTGGTTCTTGTCCTTAGGTTGTGCTATAGCCGAGGGCTTGGGGCAGGGGGGGCCTGAGCTAATTGGTAAATCCAAAATAAAAGGTCTTCAAAGCTGTCTGCTCTCCCTTGTCAAAAGAGCTTGGAGCAGTCGAACACCCTTTGAACTCCTGTATCTATGGGAGTTTTGTCTGGCTGCTTCTTCAGCTGACTTTATTTGTTGTGACACCAACGTGAATTATGCTAGGTGATTATCCTTGACCTGACAGTAGCAAGCAGAAGAGCTTCTAAAACAAGATGCTGTTTTGTTTCCAGCTGGCTATGTGTGTGTGGGCGCCTTGAATGCAGATGAAGAAATGGTGGCCTTGAGCCAAAGGCTGAAACCTGTGCAGTCGTTGGACGTTTATGATGATGTAGAAGGACTGGAGGGTGGAATGTGAGTATGACCCATGCTTCAAAAGGTAGTCATAGTGTGAACAAGCATTTGCCACACCTGGTCCAGGTGTGGGCAGCTTACTTTAATACACCTATGCCTAGACCATGGGCAGGAGTTCACTGTGGCCAGGAGCAGACATTTGCTGTTCCCCAGGAGCCACGCAGGGAGCCTGCAGTAGGTAATTCGGGGTGGAGAAGGGTAGGTTGGATTGGTGACAAAAGGGTCCAGGTTTTGGTGGGCCCAAGGGGTGTGGGTCTGTGGTTACCCAGTCGAGAGGAGGGGTAAAAATAACTCACGGTGGCGGAGGGGTGGAAATAGCATAGCCCTAGGGCTGGTGTGAGCAGCTGGGTTTTCCCAACCCTGTGGCTGTGCTGCAAACACTTATAGGCATTCATGAGATCAGGCTATCCCTTTCTGAGATCAAGTTAACTCAATTTTGAGCTAAGTCATGAGTGACTGGTGCCTCCTGAATCTGGGGGGGCACCTGCAGAAGCTGCTGATGGTGGCAGCCCTGTCGGGGGGCACCAGCCCTGCAGACAGCATTGGTGTTGGCCGTCATGAGGGTGGGGGGGCACTGGCCCCATCAGGGGGAGCACATGCACCCCCTACCAGTTGCCTATGATCTAAGTGCACTAACTTAGATCAGGTGTCCAGGCTGTAGCCATATTGGTCTCGAGGCAAAAGGAATCTAACTTGGATCAGGTGCACCATTTTGGGGGGGTCATTTAAGCCCTCTGCATACCTGTATGATTGGGCATCTTGATTGACCTAAACTTGGTTTTGAAATGTCTTTTTAAAACTGTAATATAGTCAATAATCCACATAATGCTTTCCACCTTGTTCCTTAGTGGCCAAGGCTCCGGTGCTTGTAACTCCTTCACTTCTGACAGTTGTAAGTATGGCTGAATTGGGAAGTTTGAACTTGGCCATCTTCCATTACATGATGTGGAGGCATTTTTTGACTGTCTGGTGAAGCTGTCCCCAGGAGAGAGTCTGTGCACAAAGGTCCTGTTTTGCACTTAAACCCAACAGTAAGACTTGGTCCTCAGCCAGACTCTTGGTCAACCTTAAAAAAAAAAAATCCAACCTTAAAAAAATCCATGGGCTTGGCATCGGGATCTCTACAGAAAGCATGGGAAAGACTCCTTTCATTGGCCCTTAAGCTTTGCTGTCCAGCTTGTGCTGACTACTGGAGTGGGCTTAAATACTTTCAGCATCTTGTGGAGGTATTCTGTCTTCGACCCCTAAACACTCCCACTGTACAGTGCAAATGGTTTCTGGGCTAGCACTAAGTGGATGCCAGCAGAGCTGAAGCTGGGTCAGGACGGGGTGCAGTATGGGCTGTACAGCATCCTGCATATTTGGACAACTATAGCGGCACTGCTGCCTGATTCAAAGCTAGCTTGAGAGATCTGTGTGCTGGAATTGCTCCTTCCAGTTACAGTGTTGATATAGCCAACATAGCTTCCAAAAAGCCTGCTCTTTTTCCCGTCCTTCTCTAATGTACTCTCCCTACCTTTCCCCAAACGTCATCCGTTCCACTTCCTGATGACACCTCCACATGGAGAAATCTGGGAACAGAATTTTCCACCAGCGAGCTGAAGTGAAGTTTTAACACACTAAGCCTTTTGTGCACCAGTGAATCTTGCCCTTCTGTTGGATGTCTGCATCCAGTCTGAGCAATGGTAATTATAGTTGCTAAGGCCATTCTGACTCCCTATTGCAAACTATAATTAAAACTAGTTATCCTGTGATAACACCTGTACTAATATAGATTTTAATGTATGATGGTCTGTCGGATGCCAATCCCATTTTAGCCCAATATTATCCAAGAAGAATCAGGAAAAAAAAAATGTTTTTTTAATGCATCTTTTCTCTGTTAGCTTGAGTGAGGTTTTAATGTGTAACGGTGCAGTTATTTCCTGGATGGTCTAATACTTGGCTATGCTACAGTTTTCAATTGTTATCTACACTACCTTCTAGCAAACAGAATATTACACAATGTCGTCTTTTCAAATTGCTGTGGGGGAAACGTGCATGATATTTTAACAATGAACAAATACGTGGTGCATTCTCAGCTTTGCCTGGTAATCAATACTACTCTAACTTTGGCAATAGGCTACCTTGACATTGCTACTGAAATTTCAAAGTACAACCAAGAAGTTTTTGTAAATGTATGGTTTTACTTTGTAAGAGTAAGCAGTTCTTTGGAGCAGAATTCGTTATCTATAGTAAATCTCTGAATTTGTTGCCATTGCATTTGGTTTAATAAATTTGGCTATTGTGTTTCCAAGTTTCAGAAGACTACTATGAAGAAACATATGAAGATGTTCAGAATGGGGATGATATGCCAACCAGACTGGAGTGAGTTCTCATTTATTGCCTTTGTTTCACAGCAGCTGAATGTACTTCTCTTGCTGTGGCTACTGGCTGGAAGTGGATTTTTTTTTTCCAACTGTTAGAACAGCTATTGATTTTCACCCCCCCCCCCTTATGTTGCTTTTTAAATGTCAGCTAACACTTCCAAAATTAAATGCCTGACCTAAGGAGGCCTTACTGTTTGAACTACAGTGCCTTGCCTTGTTCAGAAATATGTACTTTGCATTTAAGGTCATTTTCCAGACATAATGCCATGCTAGGTTACTAGTTAACTTGCTCTACTTGACTGAACATGTTCAATAGTTTTTGGAGAAATGACTTGCATGTGAGGTTAGTGTATAGTGACAGAGGCAAAAAAATCACGGCAAAAGAAGATGCCCAAAGGGAGCCATCTGTATACAATGTTTAATTATAAAACCAAGACAAAATGAATGACAAATGTAAGCTACCGCTGACAAGTTTTAACCCCCACAGTGAACTTGGGACCTGCTCATTAGAAATGTTCTCCAATCATAATTGCATGCAGATGAGAAATCAGAAGAACTTTGTAAAATCAAGGTGCGGCACTTGACATTTCCATATATTGCTCTCGATCTGAGCTTTTTTCAGTTTACAGATTTGGTTGGCTGCTAAAAAGGCCGACCTGGAAGTTCTCAGTAATTGTGTTGTCAGCGACTGGCTTAAGGATTTCCCCCTTGCCTTGAGTTTCCATGCATCCTTCCAGCATAGCTGACACAGCCGCTGGATGTGGCAGACCGGGGGAGGACCTGATCCTCAAGACTTCTTAATGATTGATCTGATGCCTTTGTTTCTGGGACATGGTGGTGTTTAGACTTGTGCCTGTGCACCTGCTCCCTTCCTTTCCAGCTGGGGAGTCTGTAACAGACTTCATCTAGGGTTTAAACCTAGCTTCTCTTCTACATTTGGGGGCGGGGGTCCATCAAGGCCAGTAAGCTTTGCAACACCCTTCTGAGACCAAGCACATACAACCCGAACTGAAGCGTGGGCTCTGGAGTGTCCTGTTCAAGGTCATGCAGGACAGATTTATGACGGAGCTTGGAAAAGAAACAAGATCGGACAGTAGTGTGCCTTAACTGCAACACTGTCCCCCCTTTATGTCATGCGCATCAGGTACGGGGCCAGGGAAGGTACAGTTTAATTTCTTCACGGTTTGGAGTTCCACTAAAATTCTTTCTTTATACATTCAGTGGGAAGGGGAATCGCCAATACTCCCCCCTGGTCCACCCTGTCAGAGGTTGTGTGAACAGAAGCTGAATTATTATAAGGCCCCAGTAAAAGGCTTGAATGCATATTTAAGAGTCTTGGTCATGCCGCTGAATATGATGCATCTACCTGCAGTACATGCTTAATGGACTAAATGCTGTGTAGGGGCTGTGCTTTCTCTCCGAGGAGAGGACCGTCTCCAGACCTGTTGCTGGATAGCCCCTGGTAGGCATTGGGCACAAAGCCTGGTATCTACATTGCTTTTCTTCTTATCTAGTTTGGACAGAATAGACAAACTGAAGAATTTTTTCAAGAAAGAGAAATTTAAACTGAAGAATACCAAGATGAAGGAAAACTTACGGTAAGAAAGTAGCATCCAAAAAAACCTCCCGCCAGGTTCACTTTTTTTTTTTCATAACTATAGACGCAAGAGGGATGACGTTCCAGATATAACTGGACTGGGAAAATTGCTTTATGAGGTCCGTAGTGATTTCCCCTCTCTTCCTCCCACAACACCTGGTCCATATATATATTGCCACAGTGGAGCAGGCCAGGGGTTGGTCTAGTGCTGTGTTGTTGTCTTCAATGGTAGCCAACACCAAGCACTTGTAAGAAGGCATAGGAAGAAAACATGAACTGGTTAACGGGAAGAATCAAATTTTTTTCCCAATGCCCTGCATTAACGATTAGCAGATACGTTGAAGCATTGGGATTCTCATCGCTTTCAAACTCTTGAGTGGTTCGCTTTTGTGTTGGTGTGTCTCCATGTGAACTACTTTGCTTACTGGACGAAGGAAGAGAAACTAAAGTGATTTTTTGTATTCCCTGGTCTCTCTCCCCCACCAGTCAGTAGGCTGAGACCTTTTTTAAAACTCAATTTTATTAAATGAGGGGGAAAAACAATCTTCATCTATTAGTTGTAACTATGTCATGCTTAAATGCATGTGGTATACCTTCTGTAGGGGCTGTGATCAACAGGGATCCTGGTTTTCTCTGATTTAAAAAAAAAAAAATCCCAATTTTCGGGTTAAAAAAAGGAACCCAAAATCCACATTTTTTCCGGGATCAAAATGAAATGTGCCACACAAACAGACAGAGTATTTTGATCCCAGAAAAATGTGGATTTGGGGTTACTTTTACCCCAAAATTGGGGATTTTTTTTTTTTTTTTATCAGGGAAAACCAGGATCCCTGGTGATCAATAAATCCATTCTGCTACTCTAGTATGAATTTGAAAATATTAGAGACCTTAGAATAATTTACTCATGAAATGTTCAAAGCCAGTCTAGCATGTCTCATTCCTCTGGACCAGTTAGAAGAAGGGATCTCATTCTTCCCATACCACCTGCTGGATTTGAATCTGGTTTTATAAATGGTGTAAATCCAGAGTAACTTCACTGGCATTATGTCGGATTGTGGTCAGAACAAGGCTGCAAAAATCTATTCTTCCCTTTATGCATGCTTACTGCCATGCTGAGAGAGAGAGCCCAAATCACCAGAGGAGAAAGGACTGCACCCTTTATGCCTTATCCAAAGCCCAATTACATGAAAGGAGAGACTCCCCATATACTCTGTTGGGTTTTAAATCAGTAAGTCAGCCACCTCCAATTTTGCCAAGGCAGGTTTGATCTTGTGCACTCTTTTTCACTTTTTCTACAAACTTCCTGTCTTTTTCTTTCAAGACTTCATCAGCAGTGCAAAAAACATCATGCACGTTTTTATTGCGGATGGCTGTAGTAGTTGGACATCTGGGACTGGCAGCCCAGGCCTGTAGGTTATGACCAGGGGAAGGTATATGCCACTCTAAGTAGTGACTTGAGTTTTCTCTCTAGCTGCTGGGAGAGCACTAACTTCTTACATCCAGTCTGCCATAAGAAAGAATGTATTCAGCCCTTGATGTAGCAAGTTAATAGCATACAAGGAAGGGTGCTCTTTTGGCTTGATAATGAAGACGCTGGCTTAATTTCCAGTAGTTTCTCCTATACGTTGTGATGGAAATTCCTTTGTGACCTGACTTGCACTTCGGAAATGCATGCTTTTTGGCTGTGGAATAAAGCCTCCTAACATCTCTGTCCATCTTTTAGTTCACGTGCTCCTGTTTCAGGTGGAAGTGACTGGCTGTCAAGATGGTTGTTTGAACAGTATTGATGTTCAATTAATTTACCTTCCCCCCGCCCCTGAAATGCTGTTTTTACTCTCTTTTGTGTTCTTTCTATTCCCAGCATGTTTTCCAGTTCAGTACCAAATTTAGGTAAGTTATTCATGTATAGCTAAGTGAAATGCTCTCTGTCCCAGAGGGATTACTTTAGTGTATGTTTGGAAACCGCATAAATGTATTGCATGGTGGGGAAAAGACTAAAATGCTATCATTTTTTTAAAATAGCTGTTATGTGACGATGATAAAAAATTGGGCATTTATAGACATCCTCTGGGAGTGGTGTAGGCTGCTCTAACTAAAGTTTGTCTAACGAGCTTTAGTTAAAGCACCCCCACTGCCATTTTTCAGCATGCGGAGGCTGATGCACATGATACTGGAGTCTGCTGGGGCACAGCAATTACCACACTCCAGCAGACTCGATTAATCGAGTCTGCTCTGACGTGCTGTAATTACAACGTGTTGGAACAGACTCCCTGCATGTGTATAGGCACCCATTAAAACTTATACAATCGTGATGCTTTTGAAATTTTGCTGTGGCACGTAGAGGCTATACATTAGTCTGAGAGAGAGGTGAACTTGCAGGTACGTAGCCAAAGATTACATTATGATGTTCCCCCTCGCAGCCGTAGCAGCTTTTCTGAATAACTGGCTGCAGGAGTTTTGTAGAAGCACTTTGATCTTTTGTGAAAGTCACTTTAGATGGTAGAGGAAAGAGGCAAATTTGGACCTGTGGATTCAAGCAAGTTGCCACCACTTCAAATGAGCCTGAATCAAGCCCAAGAATGTCATCCTTCTGTCAGAGTGAATGTACCAGTCCTGCCACAGAAGAATAATCGCCAGGGCACGATTGTTCCAGCTTTTTCCTGGTGTAAAAGAAGGCAAACTCCATGGAAAGGATGGTCCTGTGCTTGGAATATAATCCTGGGAGCTGGGATACCTGGGTTCTGTTCTCCGGACTACGGTGTACTGAAAGTGTCTACCTTTAATATACAGGCAGTCCTCAGACTTAATGACACAATTGGTTCCCTAAAACCGCATCTTAAGTCGAAATGTTGTAACTCGGAACCAATTTTCTCATAAGAAACAATGTTATAAATGGGGGCTTGGTTCCTGAACCAAGGCCCAATACCCTATTTTCACTAAAAATACCCCAGAATTTTGTACTCGATCAATTATAGATGAGTAATATAGCTACATTAATGTATTTATATTGTAAATAGCAATCATATTGGTTTGGAAGGACTTCTTTGAGGTGACTTTGCTGGACATTTTGAAGGACTCTTGGTTGGACTTTTTGAAGGGCTCTTAGCTGGCGTCTTCGCAGGAGTCTTGGCTGCAGGTTTTTCTGGAGTCCTGTCTGCTTTCTTAAAGAAAGTGTCCAAGGAAGTTTGGACAGATGTTCTCCAGGGAGATGGGCGACACAGCCGGCTTGTTTGCTGCTGTGGTGTTGCATCAGATCGAGCACGGTAAAGTCGAAACTGATGTCATAAAGTTGAAACAGGGTGCCAATTTATAAACGTTGTAAGTGCGAAACGTTGTAACTTGAAACGTAAGACGAGGACTGCCTATGTCTCAAACGTTATGCATTTCCATCCAGGACAGCTCGCTTACCCGCAGGCTGAAAACAAATGCTAAAAAACCCAAGTGCACACTGAAGGTGCCTGATATTTTCCCTGCAGTCAATTGTATCTGCTCTTGAAGAATAATGCTCTCTTCCCGATGTTGAGAATCTTCATTCCTATGATGTTCAGTCTCCTGGGGCTGGTTGCATTTAGCAGACTACTTTCAGTCCCAGTTTCTTTTTACAATGAACAAATGGCTTAAAGTGCTGCAGAAGGCAGGGTAGGGGTGCACTTAGACTGTATGTGCTCAGCTGAATGTTTTCTAATGCTCTGTCATGCGGGCTGTTTTGATAACAGATATCGTGTCCCAAGAGGCCACAGCATATGATGACAGTGTGACGCAGAAGGATACAAAGTAGGTAACCGGTTTTTACAGAGTCTGAGCCCTTCCACACCCCTCTTCTCAAAATACAGCTTCTCCAGACAACAGGTGTTTGTGCTGAAAGCAGCACTCCTCCACAGACTTGTGACTTGCCACGGTAGCTTTTTGACTGTTATCTCACTGCACCTTTATAAGCAAAGTTAAGGTCTTGGTCTGCTTGGTATTTATAGGAGTCCCCAAGTGAAAGCTCATATGCGTGATTTGCCAGGTGGTGTTCTAATCCTGTCTGAGCATTGCATCTGTGCTCCAGCCTGGTGCTGTCTTTTGGATAAAACATAAAGAATGAGAACTGGAAGTGAGTTTTCACAAGTGGAGGACATTTAACCCACAAACCTCCATATAAATTCATGGTCAATTAAAATCTTCCTACTGGAAAATTCCTACCTGCACTCTTAATTAAATAATGCATTCTGTTTCCTGGTCTCAAGCTATTGAGCAGCACTGATGTGTGCTCATATAGGACTCTTAAGTTCTGTTAAATGCTTGCATGTCAGTGGTGTGAAATGAGATCCTTTATCTTGCATAACTTTTGTGCAGCCCTTCTGTTTGAAAAGACCTTTTTTTTCCCCCTCCAATCCCTAGAGAGAAGGATGAAAAATCTAAAAATTGGAAGCTAAAATTTCTGATGACGAAAGAAGAAAAGGATCGAAAGAGAAGCAGCGAAGATGCAGAAAGGTGATGACAGATCTCTATTTCTATAATGTATTCTTAATGAAACTTCTAATTTAGGACAGAGCATTAATCTTCCTGGTCCAACATGATTTTTAGATCTTCTTTTGAGAGAGATTATAATTAGGCTTTGAATTTTGGACAGGGGATGGGTGGTGCATGGGGGAATAGGGGCAGTTCGCTCTTTTTTCTTTACATAATTTCAATGAAGCTAGAGAGCAAAAGTTTAAGACAACTGGAAATGGGGGTGGTGGTCTGCAAGGACACACCTGCCCTTTTTAATACCCCCGTGCATGCTTAACTGATGCAAGCAGATACTTTTGGGTGTATGTAGCTAGCTGGTACTCTAAACAGACCAATGCTATGCACTTCAATGAGCAGGTAATAAAGAAGAGTTTGAGATCATAGTGATGGCCTTTATAGGGAGAAGGCTAGTTAGAAGCCTTATCTCTGCTCTACAACCCACGGGTGTGTGCACACACCATATGCCAAGTAAGGCCTAATAAGTGGTAGGGAAAAATAAAATCTCTCAATTATTTCTTGGCTTCTGCCCTGCGGCATTTTTCATCTTAACTGAGAATGTTGCATGTAAACAGTTGTCCGCGGGTACCAGAGGACAGGAACGTTTTTGTTGTGAAAACTCTCCTCAAAAGTCCTAATTTCATTTTAGCACTGCATGTACATTTGTTGTAGCAGGTTGCAATCAATATTCTGGGACTTTCAAGCAAACCAGGACTATTGCTAGCTTTTCTTGGGTGTAACATCAGCATCCTGACTGGCAGCTGTTTTTATTTGATTTTTTTTCACCAAAATGTTTTAGGGGGGGTTTGGTGTAAAAGAAATGGGTCTCGCTATGAAATACCATGAGTTTTCACCTGTTCCCTGGAGATAGTATAAGAACTCTGAAGGCTGAAAGTAACAATGAATTATTTTGTTAATACGATGTAAAAACTGCTTGGCTTTGGCTATCTCCCTAATATCTATTCTTCTTCCCTATTTTTTAACTGAATGGAAACAAGCTGAAGGTAAGTTACTCGGCATCCATGGGCTTTTGTCTCCTAAGATTAAAATGATTTGATTTCACAAAAGAAGAGGGCCCTCGTACCTTTTGTATCCAGGAAATAATCTCCGACAAGTCTGTGGGTGAAATCTTGGCTGGGTAAAATTCTGGCCTCATTGAACTCGATGTAGGAACTCATGAATTAATTCTGAGTTTTTTTTTATTATTAGGCTTTGAATTTTGGACAGGGGACAAACAGCAAAAAAAATTGCTGTTTTCTTTACAACTATTCTTGGGCTTGAAGGAGGGTGGCCACTGACCCCCATTCCTAGAATACAGGACATTCCTTGGTAGGAGGAGGGACCACTGCCCCCTTCAGCCAATCAATGGTGAGGGGCAGAGCTGCCATCTCCTTGGCCAATCAGCAGTGAGAAGTGGGGCTACCGGACCCCTTGGCCAATCGGCAGAAAGGGGTGGGACCACGACAAAGGCCACCCTCCCTTCCTGGCTGGCTTGGAACCCTGCTCCTCCTGGCTGTGCATTGCCCTACCTCGAGCCACAGCCAATAGAATCGCAAGGACAGAAGATTGACATGCATTTCCACCAATGAACTGAAAAACAACTTTTTGTAGTCTGTTCCTCATTTAGACATGGAGAAGGGACAGGTTTAAAAACAGGACCGGTGGCCACCCTAGCTTGACTGCAACTCATTTAGACTCATCTGAGCCAGCTGGTTGGTGCTGGTCGTGTGGCTGCAACAGCAGGAGCACGCAGCTTAGCATGAGCTGGAGAATCCACCTAAAAAGCTAAACTAATGCTCAGACGGCTGGATCACATTGAGCACTAGGCTACTGCAGATAGGGGGCCAGCAATACCTCGCCTACCTAATTTTAAAGCATGCTGCGGTTAGTGCAGACATAGCCTATGCAGAGATGGACTTTAATTGCAAAGGTAAAGCTTGGTGACTGGAATACAGGAACAGACGATTCTAGAAGCAGTGCTCTTGTGGTGGAGGAAATAAGGAAATACTCTTACCATAGGCTTTCTGTTTGATCTGTTAATGATTAGATCTTTAGCTGGTCTCAACTAGCCCCAGGCAAGTCAAATCTAATTGCAGAGACCCCACTTCAAGTTTTATGCCCTCTTACCTTTTCTTACACATGGTTCCCTAAAGTACTAAGCAAGTCTTTCCTTCTGAGTGCTGCACCCCACATTTTATTTAAATGTATAAATAAATGAGGGTGATGGAGGTACGATAGTAAGACCTGTTGCTACAAAAGAACTTGAACAAAAACATCTACTTTCACATTGAGTACTACTGCCTCTTATACTTGGCCCTGTGTCCAGTGAACAGAAATGAGAAAAAATTGCTGAAGGCAGAAAGCGTCCCTGTTTCCCTTCTCCCTTCCCTCAAAGAAAGGGAGACGGAAAAGAATGCACCTTCTTTGCACCTTAAAGAATACTCATTTCATTGCAAAAAGCTGCTTAGTTGCTGCCTAGTCGGTCTCCCTAAACCTATGCAAAATGCAGGTATAAACGGGATCTCTTGTTGAACTAGGTTGCATGTGTGTGTTGCCTTTAATCCATGCTATATGTTACTGTTAATTTGCTTTGTTTTTTGCAAGGATTCATTCCAGGTTAAATTGGAATTATTCAGCCCCTCTGTGTTTTGTGCTGCATTTCATACCATCTTCACTCCCTGACAGATTACTTAAAAGAAACTACTAAGTGCATCTCATTTCTTGATCCAGCTCATCCTCCAGGGCGATCTTCAAAGCCAAGAAAGGCAATGCAGAAAAGAACAAGAAAATGGCAAAAGAAGAAAGGGTCTTTAGAGAGACATTCATGGTAATGTCATCTTCATTCTTTTTAAAGGGAAAAGTTTTAGCACTGTTGAAGGACAAATGTGACCATATGCAGGACTTAAATGACAAGTTCCCACACGTGATCAGCCTTCCTCTGGAGTGCAGGAGGTTTAACTTGCCTGTAGTATCCCTACTCTCCTGGTCTGTAATTCACAGCCATTTTTGGTTCCTGACCCTAAAGGGGCCACACAAGTCATCCTGGAACCCATCATGTCACACAGTATTTTATAGCTGGGGTGGTGGGATGGAAAAGAGCTGCCTTAAAAGGGTAAAGAAGAAATCAGCTGCTACTCCTTCCTTGATTCATCTTTGGTGTCTCAGCACAGGCTGTTTTTTAAATTGGAAGGTACCCTGTGATGACCCACCCCCCAGGGCTGTGGCCCAGTAAGTCAAGATTCACTGAACTCCTAGATCTTTATTATAGCTTCTTTAACCTCATTGTCACTTATAGGCTTTACTAGGACTATTGAGACTTTGCTATAATAAGTGGCACAGATGCATTTATGTTGTGGTTTTTTTGTAGTGCTGCTATAGAGTAATATTATTGGTTATGTTATACCATAGTCTTGGAGGAACTGGTTCTCTGTAATGAGTTAATGTTTTTATTCACTAACATTGGAATAGAGAGCACAACGTGGAGCTAGACTTTTGCAGTAGAGAGTCTTTGGGGGTAGGATATGGAGTTGCTGGGGCCTATAGCAACAAGGAAGGTGGAAATGGAAAAAGATGCTGGTGATTTCCCTTACAGTTGTGTGGATTGTCAAAGAAAGAGTAGATCTCTCCATCTCTTAAAAATGCCACTGTTCTTGGGGTGGAGAGGCTAGAATTAAGTTGCTATCAGTTATTTCCAAATAGGCCTGCAACCTGGACTAGATTCTTGGGTACATCCATATTCTCTCCTGAGACTGGAGGTACCATCAAGAAATAAGCCCTGCTTGCTCTGTGTGGGCCTGCAAATCTGTGGAGTAGAGGGCTTGGAGCAGCCCTGTTAGCCCGTATCCTGTGCTTTCAGATGCTGCTTATTTTTAGGCTGTGCACCTACTTTTGCTTAGGAAGTGATGCAAACCTACCCTTACCATGACAATTTCCAGTGCTAACTTGCTTTGAGCTCCTGTGTATGTCGTGTTGCTGTGACCTGTATGGTAGGCACTTTAATGCAGGAAATTTTTAGAGCAAGTCCATGCACACATGCAAAAGAAAAGGATCAAAGCCTCATTGGATCATCTAGTCCAGTGGTGGCCAATGTTTTGGCAGCATGCTACAAGGAAAGCCCCAACCCTCCTGGAGCATTGTTCTCCCAGAAGTGAACCTGATTGTCCCCTGGTGGCTCCAGGCCCAGGGAAGAATAGGTGACTGGTAGGGGGGGCACATGCCCCTTCTCTCCCCCCCACCCCCAACAGAGCCATCCCTGCTGCCGCTGGTGTCTGCGGGTGCTTGCCAGCCCCATCCTGTCTGTGGGTGCTTGCCAGCCCTGTCCCCGCCACCGCAGGCTTCTGCAGTATCTGTGGGTGCCCCCCCAGACTTGGGAAGCACCAGTCGCCCATGCAGAGAAGGGCTAACATGGCTCTTGTTGGCGATGGCTGATGCCATCTCTTACAGCAAGGTCTCTAAGCCCCTGGTCTCCATTCTGGTACTGAGCATCCAAGGCACATGCCACACAGCCACTGCCTGTGCTATTTGTGGCATGTGTACTGTGGGTTGGACACCCCGATCCAGCCCATGGAAACTGCTCCTTTTTTAGAGCAAGTCACACTAGTTCTCTTTCCTTCTAAATGAGATTTCCAGCAATTCTCTATGGACTACTGTACTGTGATTCTAATAGATCTTGCTGTCCTAAATGTTTACTTGTGGAAAAATAAGAAGACTTCTTAATTGCAGTTGAATTTATGAGCCTATGCCCTTTTGTACAGACCTTGCAATTGCTCTTCTCTTGGGGTTTTCAGACTTGAAACAATTGCAATACTTCTTCTTGGGGTTTTCAGACTTGAAACAATTGCAATTCTTCCCCCTGAAGCCACTCTTTTCACCTTGCTAAATTATTCCATCTATATTACTAGACAAACTGTTGCACTAAAAAAAAGCGAAAGCTCTGAATATTCAACAATTCAAAACAATTGTTGTTTTGTGTGTGGTTTATTTTAGTACAATAAGGAGATTGCAGTCATCAACACAGCTTTTGCACAGAGTTCTGTCTCGAGCAAAGGGAAGCAAGATTTACCAATCACAGCTGGAGAACAGCTGGACATTATTGATGTCACAGAAGGGAATCAAATGCTGTGTCGCAATGCTGAAGGAAAATGTAAGAAATTTTTAGAAATTCTGACATAGTTGCATGTCAGTTGGTTTTCTTAGGCAAGTATGTCTAGAGAATGACTGCCAGCATGTAGTTTTATGATCAGTGCACTCGAGGAAACGTACATAATTGCACTTTAACTGCATATGAATCTTTTTTTTTTTCCAGATGGATATGTCCTAGTAGAACATTTGAATTTCAGGTAAATTTTGGAGTTTTTCCTCTATCAAACTCTGCATATAGCATAGTCATCTGACTTTACAAGTCTATTGCCCATCGCCCTACAACCCCCCCCCCAAAAAAAAACCAAAACAAAACAGACCACCCCCTGCCTCACCTCTCCCTCCCAAAACCCACATAAAAAAATCTGACTTGACTTGTATACAGGGTCAGACTATAATTGGGCCCCAGATAACCAAGCTAAGTAACCTTTGCAGAACCATGAAATCTATTATAATGTTATCCAAACCAGGAGGGGGAAAAGTTGTGTTTCTTTTTTCTAAAATGTATATTTGAATTGTCATTACAATAATACAATAAAACTGGGGGGTGGGGAGGAACAAATATTTATTTTTTGTGTAGAAACTGAAAATTGTGCTAATGTTAGGCTAAGGTTGTGCTAATGCAGCTCCAAAATACGCTGTCCAGTATATGCAATTGAATTATATTGACATAGCTCCACTGACTTCAACCAAGCCATGCCAGTTCACGCCATCTGAGATTATGGTCCATTTGTTATGTGGTCAGGTCTAACGGTAATAGTGTTAACAGCATCTGTGGCATATACTCGTATAACTAAACAGAAAATTCCAAGTGTTTTGGAAAGGTACGTGTTGCAATAAACCTGTTTCTATTGCAGCAGGCTATACTAGTCATCTGATGAAGGCCAGATGAGAACCAGGTTCAAGCTTCCTCCATGATGGTGCACAGCATGAGTCCTTATATGGCAACAGATGAGAGACGAATGGGACTATGAAGCTAGTTTAGCTTTTCACTTAAGATGAGAAGCCCCTTTTTAAATGTGTAATAGTGCATGGCAGGCAACTATCACATCTTGATTGAAATCTGACTACTTTTTTTCCAGTGTTGCTGATTTTGCAGATACTGAAGAGGATGTATGAGGCCTACCAGTAGTCAAATGCTCAGTTACTTTTACTTTATATACATTTTTTTTTGTATTGTATGTAGCTTGGCATTTGTACGGACAATTCTTGTGTGAATTCACTGTGCATAATACTTGTCACTTGATGTCTGTCTTGTTGCTATTATTTCTTAGGTGTTGCAAACAGACTTTAATGTGTTTAAAATCTGTTACTTACATAGACACTTTAATTTTAAAAGTAGTAAATAAAACACTAATACCAGTATATAATAAAAGGAATTTTGTAAGTCGCTTGCAGTCTTTTCTTTTTTAAATCTCCTCCTAGAACTAGGGAGAAATAGGTGAACTTGGTCCTCTGGTCAACCATACTGAGATTGAGGGACCTAATCTGTGATATTATATAAACTTTTCAAGAGTTCCTAGGAGGAAGAGTCCATTCATTTATAAATAAGAACTTAAGTTGTTCTAAAAAATGCCATGGTTTTAATTAGAAATGGTTAAATGTTTCCCAGTTTAAGTAAACATGGCACGCACACAAAGCTGTTGGCCACATGGTAATTTCAAAAGTTGGCATGGAGAAACTTCAAGAAATCAGAGCAAATATTTAGCATTTACTTAGAACCCTTAAAGGCATTTTTATTTATCTCTACATGTGGTTACTATTAAGTGTGCTGGACTGCATCCATACTTACACAAGCTTAAGCGTGCGCAACGTTGTGCCTGCCAGCACAAATATTTAGACTTCTGAAATGTAGATGGAGTACTTGTGGAGTTTAAGTGTTTATCTGATTCCAGATTGGAATTTGTATGATGTCCTTCATCTACAGGCTTCTCTGTGTAACTATATTTAGGTAAGTTGCTAAGGCAACTTGTCTATCGCTTGCTTTCTTATAAGATTTCTGATCTAGGTTTCAGCAATGCAAATGTAGCTGCTTTTTTTTTCTTTTCTTTCAAGTATAGCATTACCTTTTACATTTCATAACACTGAAGTCACTGCAAAGAACTGCTTTGTTCATCATGTTGCCTGCTTTTGTCTTCTAATGACATTAAACTTGAATTTGTAAAGCAAGGCCTAAGAAAGTACAGGAAGTTTGTAGGTGAAATTTCATATTGGGTTGGATTGTCAAGTGCCGTAGTTCAGTTGAGTGATGAGGCGATCACAGTTTACAATAGGTAAAAATCTGGTGGACGGTGGTTGTGGGAGTTTTTTTTTGTTGTTTTTTGTTGTTGTTGTTTGCAAGAGTTGTATAATCATAACCCGAGTCCTTAATTTTTTTATGCAGTTATTGCAATGGAATTATGCACAAAAATTAGTGCTGTGGGATTAGGTCCTAAATCGCCATGTGAAAACTAGCCCTTCGAGACTAATCAAAATTAAAGCAGACTGTCCTCATGAGGGATAGTTCCATTTGGGATTGGGTGTAATGGAAATGCCCATTCATCTGGGTAGAAGAGATTTTTTTTTTGTAACCTGATGAAACTCGAATAATGAGCTCCAAGGCATCTGTTTGAGGACAGACTGCAGCATATTACTTTGACAATCATCTTACCTTTTGTCCCCTCTGGGAAAGGCTCATTACATTAAGTTTATGCACACCCTCTAGGAAACTGCAATCAAGGTGAGATCAAAATATTGCACGAGGAAACTAGAGGTGGCACCCTGTGTAGTGGCGCTTGATTGTACATCCTGACATGTCCTCATTAGTTGTTTTTAATTTTTTTAAATCTCTGCCCTTTGTTTTCTTAAAACCAATCCCTTGATGATAACCACCACTTAGTGGTATTGAGAGAGCCCCAATTTGTTTGGTGTAGTTGTCAAGCCTTAGGGCACTTGTCCACGTTACACCTCTCCTGTTTCCACATTATACTTTTCCTGTGTCCACGTGACAAAAATTGCCATTAAGCTGGCTAAATCACATCTGTGTATCCACATTATCAGCTGATTTTGTTTTAGGTTGTTTTTTTTTCCCCCATGGTAATTTAAAATACCTTCAACATGTTTTATTCTTAGCTCCTGTATTTCTTCCATGAGGGTTTTTCTTATCATTTTAAATTTTCAAGGTGGAACTGACTTGCGCACAAAAATGGGATTTTCCCTGCTTTGCAACCATTTCACCATCAGGTGCCGCTTGGGTTCACTCAGTAATCCATAGAAATCCATCGAATTTTTATTGCAACGCTGCAACCAGACTCCAGGGGTTAATCTTGCAATTTTTTACTAGCGATTTAGTTCATGGTTCAGACGAATAAAAAATACAACTTTTTTTGGATTCCCCAAAAATTGTTTCCCGTGTTCGCATGCCCTTCGTGGCAAAGATCAAATTGTTATAGGTCAAGCAGTTCAAGACTCAGGTTAATTAAAATTACTTTTTGTTAGACCGGGTATTTGGTTGTAGCAGCGTTGGTCTAAGGACATAGGCAGGCCCCCAGGGTTTTAAACTTGGTGTGGTTTTTGTCTCCCTGTGGGTCACAAACAAGGGGCACCAGCTGGGCTGGGGGGGGGCAGGCAGGTCAGGAGTGAGGGGGACTGGCAGGGCAGGGGTAACCCGGGTGGTAAATGTAACCCAGGTGGTACCCGGATACCTCCTCTCCAATTGAAGGGATTTAGGTGTTAATGCGCTATGGGAGGGGTAGCCACTTGGGAGGAGAGCTACTCCCACATATCTCCTACAGAGTAGAGCCGAAACCAACTGGAACTTAACTGTATATGGGTTTAATAGGGAAAGAACAGGGTGGAATATAACACGTATGCAGGGGGCAAGGGGACCCTGGGAGACAATGGTACCCTCCCTCCAGAAATCTGGGGAGGGGGGAGTCGAAGGGATTTTAGGTGAACATACACATACAACAGAGACAAATCAACAAGACTTTAGGCGCAGGGTTCAAAAAATATGAGAGTCAGAACCCACAAAACTTGAAGTGCAGGCACCCTGGTGGGGCGGGGTAGAAGAGGTGAGTGGAGCCCCTCTCCCCAGTGGGGATTCCCTTTTGCAGGCAACTCAACCCCCTGGTGCCCTGGCCAGGAATCGAATGCAGGTTTTCTACATGGCAGGCAAAAGCTGTACCACTGAACTGTCAATGCCTGGCCTGCTGGCTGCAGCTGTAGTGCCTTCGGGATCCTCCATGTACTCTCTGTACACTGAGCTGCCGCCTGCAGCTCTGGGCTTTGATCCCTCTGGGCCCCACTGCACGGCGCTCCTGGGAGGGTAGGGGACTGCAGATCAGGAGTGAAGGGCCCTGGCAGTGTATGGTGAGGGCTGTGCTAAACTGTGATATGTGGCCATTGCACCCAGCTCTGGGGTGCATCTCAGCCCCCACCCCACCTTTCACTGTTATATGCAGCTGTTACACCCCAGATCTTGGTGCATATCTGCCATTCCCATGTGCTGTTATATGTGGCTATTGCACCCCATGCCCTGCCTTTGTGGCACTGGGGGACTCTCTTGGACACCTCCGACCAGGGAAAATTTCCAGCTGTAATCCCAGCTCAATTTCAGGAAAACCAGAAAACTAGAAAAACCATAGAGGTATGGCATGGGGTAGCCCAAGAAGGATTTCCATCTCTAATCCCAGCCCAAAAGAAATTCCTTATTTGAGCCCATATACTTAGGACAGTGGGAACGGGGGGACAGTCTGGATTGTTCGGACGTGACCCCTAGCACATTTTACTAGTTATAGCACAATAAGTCATTACATGGTAAATCACCTCCACATTACTGAATTAGTCATCATAAGCTAAGAAAGGAAAATTAAACCAGGAACGTTTTTAGCAGCTAAATGCTGATTACATGGACAAGAGCCCATTGATGTTGGTGGGGTTTTTTTTGCCCCTGATTACAGTGGAGTCAGGATTTCGCCTGGAGTACTAAGAGGAGCGTTTGGTCTGTGTCAGTATTTGGGATGTATGCCGCTCTGACTCTTTCCATTATTTCTTGATACCAGAAGGCTTGAGGGGAGGAAGGAAAGGGATTACCATTAATTCCAGCAGCGCTGAGGCCTTTAATTTAAATATATATTTTAAGGCTTTGTTGCTATTGTCTCTCTTTTCCATCTCTGAGTTTATTAAAGTGCAAATGTCAGCCATGGAGACAGCTATCACATGCAGTGCAGTACACAGAGGAACACTTTCCACACCATAAATGGAAGGTAAAAGGCTTCTTTGTGACTTCTAACGGTCGGTTACTTGCACAAAGAACAAAACTGAAACTAGGGCTTCTGCCCTTTCACAACAGCTATTATTTTAAAAGTAGTGTAATCATTATTAATAATAAGAATAATAATAAAAAGCATCTCTTCTTTCCTGGTCCTTCTGTTAACAAAAAGTGAAATTCCAAAACCCATGTAACCTTTTTACAGACCTTGTTTTTCTTTAAAAAAAAAAGAAATTATATCCAGAGCTTTTTAATAGTGGCAGGCAAAATATCGTAACCAGAGAAAATCAGAAGCAACTTTCTTTTAAAAAAAAAAAAATACTTGAACAAGGAATTGCAACACGCTGGTTGTATTGACCCTCGGGGATTAACTGGAGATGAGGGGGGTTTTCCTGCCCAAATTGAGGTGGGCGCTACAGCTGTCATGTCATTGAGCTTTGCTTTGCACTCGAAAGAAAGAAAATATCTTAAGATTATAAAACACACAAGTAGAACATGATACAGAGTGCATGAACATGCTCCCAGCAACAAGAATAAATATTACCATGTTTACAGTACCTACTTCACAGCTTTGTGAGATGAGGGTAAAGAAACTATTTTAAAAACTTAGGAAAGATACAGATAAGAAGAAACAGTCTTATACATAAGTTCTGATAAATTAAGGCAGCTTCAGCAGGAGTTTCAAGGCTTTTGTTCAGAATACACTGTACTTTCCACCTTTCTTCTAGTTAGTTTTATTCATGCTTAACACTGGGATCTCTGATCAGCTGACCTGTTCTCCTGGTTAAACATGGTGAAGATGTGCATTGAACGCATAGACAATTGCATTTAATATCCATTTCATAATTTGTGAAAAGTCAGTATTCCACCACAACACTGTATTTAAGCTGGCTGATTTCAGACTGATACCAAGACCATGAAGACTTCAAGCATGATTGCACGTGGGGTGGGACTTCTTACTGAGCCAAGGTATAGCCCATGTTAAATCTGTGCATAATATATCCACTGAAAGAGAAAAAAAAGAGGAGCGCTCTTTAAAAAAAGAAAATTACCGAAATGGGTATATGTGAAGGAAGAACCAAAACCAGGAAAGTACTGCATGTAGTTTAAGAGAAAATGTTAAAAACAAGACTTGCTTTTGGAAAAGGGTGAAAGCAGTAGGTTGGCTGGTGCAGTTTCAATGAGGTGTAGCCTACTAAGATACAAGTCCAAAATTAAAGAATCTCACAGGGTTTTTTGGACGATCGACAGAGATGGATGTAAAATTCCTATCCCCTGATAACTGAACAGGATGAAGCAAAACAAGCACTTAACAAATGCACTTCAAGTATTTAGAAAGGGTCTATACATTTCTCATCAGTATGAATCTGAGTAAAATGCACTATTTGCAGACCTAGTGAAACAAACTTACGACTTTCAGCAGTTTTAACACATAGAAGGCACAATTTCATTTTGTGTGCATGGTGTATGGGTCTGTTTTCCTCCTGAATAGATGTATAAAGTAGCCCAGTGATGACCAAGTATTGTAAGCTGAGCAGGACTTGCTTAGGACAAGATCTGGCTTGGATAGCCTGTTCTGATTTAGAAGATGGCACGATCAAAATAAAAATGCAATGGTAATTTAACCAGTTGCTTCAGTTCTTACAAGTGTTTATATCCTTTGCCCTAATGGACACTTTTTGTAGGGTTAATAGGTTGGGGGTTACCCTATGACCTGTGTATCATACCTTCTTAAATCTTTAGTTCACCTTTGGAGTCTAGCAAATACACCCCTCTAACCTCAAAAGTAAGAGGCCTTTGTTGCACTGCTGGGGAAAAAGGGTACTGGCCTTTTTAAGGGTCCCTCCTCTCCTGTAGGATAGCTGATGAGGATGGGGAAGCATTGTACGAATGAGCTGGCAGACTAGTAGGGTCTAGGCAACACACTGGCCCTATGTGCCTGGAAGAGTTTGCATAAACGTTGCCACTTTTGCTTTAGCTTAGTCTCACGTCAGGACTGTGCACTGGACCTTCTTGATGGGAAGTGCTGATACTCTGATCTGTCTCCCTGATGAAACATGACTGAAATATTAGGGAAAGGCATTCCTTAAGGAAGCAGCAGAGAGGGGTGAGGGTAGATGGGACCTACTAAGAAAGAAACAGGGCATGTCTAAAAGTGCAATTAAAGTGAAGCAATAAACTCCAGAGTTTATTGCTTCTGGGTGCGCCGTCTGAACAATCGCTTGGGACCACAGCATGTTGAGCCAGGTTGGAGCATCCCCAGCTGGCAGGGCACCCTGGGGATCAGCCGGGGGCTGCTCCCCTCGGCTCAATGTGTTGCAGAGGGGTTGGCTGGGGCACGAGGGTGCTTCAGTGCAGGGCTAGCTGGCAGGTGGCCTCCGGCCTGAAACACTCTTGTGCCCCAGACAGCTGGGACAATGTCTACACATGCAATGCTGTGGAGTAAAAAAAAAACCTCCATTGTAGTACAGTACTTGTAAATGCAAGTACTATCCTGATGTGGAGTCAATTAGTTTATGCCAGCCTAATAGGGGCACACGTGTAGACGTGCAAAACTTACTGAGGGGCTAATTAGTCAACAGCAGTAACCGCCTCACATAGACATACCCACAGTGACCTAAACTATATGATCTTATGGCTGGATAGTTCCCAGATCAGATAACTGAATAAATCTCTACACCCCCCCATTAAGCTGCATCTTTGCACCATCCTGCAGGTCCAAGATGTGCGGCATTGTCAGAACTATCTTCTGACATCTGGTAAACCTGTGACGCCTCCAAACAGAGTAAGCCACTAAAAAACTGTAAGTTGAGTAGTTCACATCTGTAGAATCCAAATGGATCTACCCTGCTTATCCAAGTGACCGTGGGTGGCTCTTCACAAGACACTAACTACAGATGTGATGGCAATTAGAAACTATAACTGGAGTAAAGTAGCTTCTGGGCAATCAGAACCAGAACCCTGGCCCATGTGAACAGAAGGAACGGGTACAATTCCTAAAGATGCCAGAAAATGCAGCCCATTTGGGAAAGCCTATTGTTGGAAGTACTACCAGTCTGGTAGGGGATGTGTTGCCAAGGGAACTGGATATAGGAACTGAGGGTCGTGAGCACTCGAGTTGCTCTCTGTTTGCTTCTATGCTGTCCTGTTGACTGAAACAGAGTCATTTACCAGATGGTGAAATGCAGCACAAGGACTCTAAACAGTTTTTGACTCTGTCTCCTTACCAAGTCATAGAGTCATACATTGTTAGGGGCTGGAAAGGACCTTGCAGATCATCGGGTCCAGCCCCCCGCCCAGCTCTAGGCAGGAAGACAACTGGGGTCAAGTGACCCCAGCGAGGTGACTGTCCAGTCTCCACAGTCGACACAGTTGCATGGATTCGTTTACTTTGCTAATGTTTTGCACCGCACCAAAAAGATGCAACTGCTAAGTCTTGCCTGACAGCCCAGAAATTGCACCTGCCTTGAGGATGGGAGCCTATCTTCCTCAGGGAGCTCATGGTTCTTGGAAGGAATTAATTGCTTTATAAGAAATGCTCACATGAACAAATGCACTGTTAAAGCAACAAGACCGTATATTAAAGTGCTTATGACATTACACCTCATTCCTAAAGGTTTTCTCAACGTCACGAACTGCATAAACCTGGCAGGATGGTAGTCTGCTCTTTGGGGTCAGATACGATTAAATGTTCTTTTGCATTTCAAATGCATGTAATAATAAGGGCGTGGGAACTCAGGCACTGAAAAGTATACCTTTTACAGATTTATCAGCCCTAAGGCCTCAAACTATGGGCAGTAACTCAAAGGTTAGCATTAACTCGGAAGTCTTTTAACCTTCCTGTGCTTCTGGCGGCCCATAAAACTTTGTTGTTGCTTCTAGTTTCTAGGAGGAAATCTGTGATCATCTCAATGCCCAGCTTTCTACTTCTCCTGCTTTAAAAGGCTAAGGCTTCAGCGTAATACAGAGATACCTGATGCTAGCTCAGGAACTGAGAGCATGGAGATCAGAGTGTATTAATTTATCTGGCTTTTCAGTTGTTTTATGATGCTGTGGTCAGATTCCTGATGGCGCCTCTACAGAATTTAGTGCTAAGCCACCTCAGGTGTCCTTGCTATCCTGCTGTGGTGGCTGTGTAGACACCCCTTTAGCAATCCACTTTACGCTACGGTCTGTTCTCCTGACTTCTTTCCTCCCCCCCTTTTACTACACCAACCTACCAGACAGTGTGCTCTAGACTGCCCCAAGGTATGCAAACAGATGGTCTGTTGTTTAGGGCACTATCCCAAGTGCTGGGAGCATACAGTTCAATTCTTCAAGACTTTTTTCTGACTTTTAAGCAAGTCAGCTCCTCTCTAATGCAGCTGCCAATCTGTAACCTAGGAACAGCAGCACTGTTTGACCTCGTAACAAAGTATATTAAAGATTGGGGTCCCCACTGCTCTAATAATAAGGGCCAAGTAACCATACAGAATCGGTGCACCTCTTGAAATGCTCCAACTACCCTGTCCAAAGAGTCTTCCTCCAGTGGCAAGCAGCTGCACCTTATAGATTCATAGATGCTAGGGTCAGAAGGGACCTCAACAGATCATTGAGTCCGACCCCCTGCCTAGGCAGGAAAGAGTACTGGGTTCAGATGACCCCAGCTAGATGCCTAGCCAGCATTCTCTTAAAGAAGGGGAGAGCACCACCTCCCTTGGAAGCCCATTCCAAATTTTGGCCACCCTTACCGTGAAGAAGTTTTTCCTGATATCCAGCCTAAATCTGCTGTCAGCTTGTGACCATTCTTCCTTGTTACCCCAAGAGGCGCCCTGGTGAACAGAGCATCTCTGATCCCTTGCTGCCTCCTCCAAATGAAGTTGTAGGCGGCCACAAGATCACCTCTCAGCCTTCTCTTGTAGAGGCTGAAGAGGTCCAGGTCCCCCAGTCTCTCCTCATAGGGCTTGGCCTATAAGCCCCTGACCATACAAGCGGCCTCCTCTGGACCCTCTCAAGTCTATCAACATCCTTCTTGAAGTACGGCACCTAGAACTGGACACAGTACGCCAACTGCAGTCTAACACAGAGGGGAAGCATCACCTCCTTGGATCTATTTGTCTTGCATCTGCTGATGCATGATAAAGTGCGGTTAGCTTTGCTGATGATTTCGTCACACTGACGACCTGTTCATCTTGGAGTCCACTAGGACTCTGAGATCCCTTTCTGCTTCTGTGCTGCTGAGAGGGTCACTTCCCAGCCAGTAGGTGTGCTGGGTATTTTTGTGCCCTAGGTGCAGCACTCTGCACTTGTCCTGTTGTACTGCATCCTACTATATACTGCCCACTGTCCCAACCTGTCCAAGTCTGCCTGCAATCGTTCCCTACTCTCTAGAGTATGCACTTCACCCCACCATTTAGTATCGTCCGCAAACTTGGACCGAGTACACTTCACACCCACATCCAAGTCAGTGATGAAGATATTGAAGAGTACAGGTCCAAGGTCTGAACCAAAGATCGAACCTTCTTGTCCCATTTCCTGCTGTCCCACACCACCGTCCCCCCTCCAAACCTCTCCGGATCCGAATCCTCGACCTAGCTTCTTTTTTCTGTGGGTGCACGCACAGGCATGCACAGTGCAGCATTACCTGGAGTACAGGATCTGCCTCATAGTTCTATTAGAAAAAGGTTGTGTTACGTCTTGTTTTAAAAATGAATGTGCCACTGAAAGGAGACTCCTAATAAACCAGCCAAGATTGTAGAGAGACTAGAAGGAAGTCTAATTTGGCCCTAAATCTTCACAAAAGAGCTTGGCGGGGCAGATTCTCCATGGCCTTGCATGGCTGCCAAGTGACTGTAAAATAATGCACCTGCCAGACACCAATTCAAAGCCTTGGAGACCCTTCCATCCCAGAGCACTTTTTAAATTCAATTAAAAAAAATGCGTGTTACAAAATCTAAGCATACTACAAATATTCCCAATGTTTCCTTTAAAAAAAAAATAATTGTCCAACTATTCAAAACTCTAACTAACACTTGAACAGTGAAATGGTTTCTGCAGCTTGCTCTGCTGCTCTCACTGTCTAAATGTGGTTTGTGGAAAAAAAGGTGTAAAGTTATGCCAGTGTCACTCTAAGATGTGATCAGTAACAAAAGTAAGGCAATTTGTGCTTTCTTTAAAAAAAAAAAAAAATTATAATACCAACATTATATGTTGACAACGTCTTTTTAACTGCCAGCAGGTGGCAAAATATCTGGTTTGCCTTCATTATCTAACATGATTTATATAAAGGCCTATTGTATCATTCTTTTCCTTGCATCTTATAGAAACTTTCAGATAGTATAAATTAAAGTGCAACTTTACAAAACAAGAAAAATAATTTAGCAAAAGAACTGTATAAACACATTTATAATACGTTTAAAAGTTGAACCATGTTTTTTCCTTAATGGGCAGGCACCGACCTTGCCAAAATCCTCCTGTTTTGTTTTTTGTGATAAACAGTCAAGATTTCTGGCAACATTTTTTAAGCAGCAGCTGTTTCTTGACGTGATTAGTTCTGTAGTCAGGTGAGGAGAATTAAATACCATAGCAATGCCAGTGCTACCCATTATATTAAGCTGAAGTGTGTTTTTTTTTAATTACACAAAAGGTCCATGCATGACCAGTTTACCCTTGTTGAAACAAGAATTTTACCCTTAAAAATCCCTATAGTTTGTTTAAAAAAAAAAACCACAGTCCAATCCTTCAGATAACCAGTAGTAAGGAAACAATAAAACCATAAGATATCCCTGCCTTATCAGTAGAGCAATGAAGGTCACAGTCTATTAAGCATTAGAAGTACATGAAAGCCCTTAGGCCTGAAACTCTACTTTCAAACTTAACTGCTGACTACGATGAAATGGTACCCTATACAAAGTAGGACCAGAACGGTAAAAAGGGCAGCTATCTTGGGGCAGGGATAAAGTAGGAAGAAGGGACCTTCTGCATGGACATGAAAGATCATCTTGAACCCTTTGACCTTTCAAGCACCTGTGTATTTTGGAGAGGGAAATTACCATCCCCACTACCCATGTCACAAAGCTGTGCCACGTATCTTGGCTGATGCACACTTGGCACACACAGCACCTAACTGGGGGTTCAGGTAGTACTTCTGTCCCACCTCTCTGCTTGCAGGCCAGCGAGGAGTCCTGGCACGCTGTGCGGTGGTGGTGTGCATGCCTGTACTAGGGGAGGGGAGCAGGGAATAGCACCTGGGGTGTATTTGTGTGGTTGGCTACCTGATGGATTGCGGATGGGTGTTAGACCAGAGGAAACAAGTTCGAGCTAAAAAGCAAGCTGGCTGAAAGCAAGTGGAGCTGTACCTGGGAAGCTAACAGTAAGCAACGGGTTCTTCGTCTCCAATAGTACCTTGCTCCCACTGCTTTCCAACAGAGTCTCTGCTCCTGCCATCGACCCCTTGCCTCTTTCCTTCCAGCAGCCCCTCTCCCACGCTCTCTCGCATAACTTCAAAACCCAGCTCCATAAATATCTTGTCCTCATCCAAACCAGCTCAGGTAGAGGCTACTCTCTGTCTAATGCCCACCTCTACTGCTAGGGATATGGAAGATACCCTGAAGGAGAAATTAGTGAGCAGTCGTCACTACTCAGATGTTTCCCAGGGAGCAGTAGTAAGTTTGGCACAGACCTCTGTTTCCGGGGAGTGAATGGGTTTTTTGTTTTGTGTTTCCATTCAGATACGTGGGCCTGAAGCTGTTTACAGGTGCCCAACTGTGAGCAAGAGCAGGTTCGGGGTGCAGGTGGTGCAATACAGCACGCAGCCTTGACCACTGACAGGGGACGAGGAGGCCAGGACTGTCCAACAGGTCCAAAAGAACTAGCTAAGCCTGAAAAAGAGGCAAGTAGGGGAACTATAATGGGGAAATGTGTGTCTTGCTCTTAATCTAGAGTGTCACTTTGTTTCTGTAGCATGCCTGCAATGTGAGCCGTGCCTGGCATGCAGTCCCGTACTCCCACCACCTGACACATGAAGCAGGTTGACGTGTTTCAAGATCACAGAAGCATCTAAGCAACTGCTGGTTTTTATGAGGGAGGTGATAACAGAGGCCTGCTGGCAACTCTCTCTTAGAGCCTTACTGGCACCGGTTTGTAAATACTGCCACGCTGTTTTATTATGCCCAGAATCTGTTTCACTTGTCTATACGTCTGACCTGGTTCATCCATGGGATTCCCCCCCTTGAATAGCAACAGGGATACAATAAAAATCTCACTTAGCAGCGCTGGTGTTAAAGACACCGATGCTTAGCCAACTTTGCTTTTAAATAGGGGTAACATTTCAGAGAGGGTTGTTTACCGATAAGCTTAGTGATGCACTTACTATTTTAAAACCACGGCCAAGCTTCCTGATCGTGTTCACTGGTAAAAGCTGTCTGGTTCTCTTTATCCCACCAGAATGTAGTAAGCAACACAAACCTGTTCCTAGTTCCCTTAATGCGCTGTACGGGCAACCAGATCCTTTGCAAGGGAGTAGTTGGATTCTGAAGAGTTTGCACAGCAATGCACACGATTCCCAGGATGGGACCAAAGAGCAAAAAACGAGGGGGAAGGTGGGAGGAAAAAGGAAACAAATACGTGATATAGGACCAGAGTCTCACAGTGCAGCATTGCATGAGGAGGGACCGGTGACTCGGTGCTGCTTGTCAGCGAGCTAATGCCATAATGAGACTGGCACACATTTCAAAAAAATCCATGGTGTGGCTCCCCAGGCGTGGAGTAACGGAGGATATGCTCCCAGTCAAGGAACCAGTCAGGGATCCAGTAAGTGACTGGCATTCAGCAGCAGCAGAATCAATACTCAGTCTTGGTCTGTGCAAGCCAGCCGCGGAGCAAGAGCGCTGGGGTGTGGATGAGCCTGACCTCTGCTCCATGACATCATCTTAAAAATGTACAAACACACAGTGTTAATTAGCACCAACTCAGCTCGCAGTGTGGTTGGGGCCTGCCCAGGAAGAAAACTCTCTACATCCGCAACGTGCAGCCAACCAACACGAGGAATGAAAGCTCGGCTCCCACTCAAGTCAGTGACAAAATTCTATTAACTTCCCCGAATCCAGGATTTCAACCTCACAATGTTGGATTTCAACCATACGTTACTTCAGAATGGGAAAAGGTGAGGGTAGAGACTGAAGCTCAACTGTTCCCATGTGGGAGATCCTACCAGCTAGGGATTTGTTAGTGTCCTAGTGCTACTTTAACACAAGTAAGATCAAAACCAGTTCACAGCCGATAAGAAAAATGTTGCTGCATATGATGTGTATGTAAGCTGATAGGAAATTACTTTTTGCTCCCTTTTACCAGGATAAAGAGCCATTAAACTGTCAGAGGAACTCTAGTGGAGACAAATGGGTCGGTGTGGTGCAGCCTGGAAACAGCAGCAGATACCAAAAAGAAAAAATACAAGAATTTTTAAATCAAAAACAACCCTCGGATCTTACTAGTCTATGGTGGGAATGATAGCCTTCCCACTGTGGATGCTGTGCTTTAACTCTAATGCCCCATCACTTCCTGCTTACCATCGATGCTTTTAAAGTCCAAGAGATAGCTTCGATTGTCAACTTGGTAAAGCTGTAAACTCATTTTCACATAATTTCCAGTTACTGGATTCTTCCGACGCACTCGAAGATGATAGGAGTTCACCACCTAGAACAAGGCACCATCTTTCAGGACTCGGATTCAGGATGGTGGAAAGAAAAACATTTCTTTCCTATCCCCCTGTTTAAGGGTGAAACATTTCAAGAAAAAAAAAGGTTGCCTGGAAAAAAACAATTGCTTTGAAACAAATAAATAGTCTAGTTTCTTCTAAAAGGTGTTTTTTAAGAAATGCTTCCCTGGCTTCTAGGTACTAGGTGAAAAAACACAAAGGTGTCAGGCCTCTAGAAACTGCAGTAACTCAATTAACAGGGAGAATATTTCTTTGAGAAAACATGCAATCACTAATTCTATGAAATAATATATTATTAATACGTTATTTCTCATAATATAGAGTTATGTTATCTTATCTATTATTATATTATATATCTCATTGTAATAATACAATTAATATCTTTATAATAACATTGGATAGGCATCTGGCGGGG